GCTAGGTTAGGTTAGGTAGGGTTGGTTAGGTTCGGTCATATATCTACGTTAATTTTAACTCCAATAAAAAAAAATTGACCTCATACAGTATGAAATGGGTAGCTTTATCATTTCATAAGAAAAAAATTAGAGAAAATATATTTATTCATAAAAACTTGGCTTATTAGGCAAATCGGGCCTTGCATAGTAGGCCGAGAAGTGTGTTCTGGCTACTAGGTACGACATATATATATATATATATATATATATATATATATATATATATATATATATATATATATATATATAAAAATATGGGACACAGGCGGAAATATATTGTAAAACAAGGAGACAGGTGGAAACTTGGTACCCAAATGAGCCACAGGGACGTTAGATAGAACTTTTTCAGTGTCGAGAGTAGTTAACAGATAGGATGCTTTAGGCAGTGACGCGGAGGAGGCAGACTCCATACACATTTCCAAATGTAGATACGATAGAGCCCAGTTGGCTCAGGAATCTGTACAACAGTTGATTGACAGTTGAAAGACGGGACCAAAGAGCCAGAGCTCAACCCCCGCAAGCACAACTAGGTGAGTGCACATTTACGTAGTCAATCCATGCCAACAAGTGTTAAGGTAATGAGGATTACCTTACTGTTATCGCTGCAAGCAGCCCGGCCCCCCAACCGGGCTCGGGGAGTAGAAGGCTGCCAGGTAAGCATATCTGGGCGAGTGCACATGAACTAGCGTTGGTCTTTATTTAGATAACCGTGCTGGTCCTGCACTTGATATAAGCAGCCATGGATTTAAACTACAAGAGTTTATTTTACTGTGTAATAGACAGTGTGTATGTGTTGTGTCACAAGTCAAGCCTGGCCTCGGGCCGGGCTTGGGGAGTAGAACAACTCCCAGAACCCCATCAACCAGGGATCAACCAACCAGGTATCAACCACGTAACCAGGTATCAATCAACCAGGTAACCAGGTTAAAAGAGCCGGCATGATGGAGGCAGATGTGTTGGTCATTGGGAGAGCCACGGATGACGTATGGTCGGGTTAATGAGCCGTGGGGTAGGAAGTCTCATGCATCTAACATAATGGCTTTGTTTACACCTGGCTATATAGTCGGGATGTCTTGCCGCTTTTCCCCTTATAGTTTCCCCTGCCCCTACTGAGTTTGGTAGATTCTTGTACATAGTAAAGCTAGCCTAATTTGTACTATTTACGTAAACGTTCACAGCTTAAGAACTAGAGGTATGATCAAGCTCTACCTTGATCAAGGCATGATCCTCGTTAGAAATACTAACCTTGATATATTTATTAATAAATATTATCTTGTTAGAGATACCTTGTTAGAGATACCTTGTTAGAAATACCTTGTTAGAAATTAGAAATAGACTCCTAACTAACTGCATTTATGAGGGAACTGGAATTTTTGTTAAGTGCTCCCGGTTTAGTTTCGTTGTTGGCCGCACAGAACCTCCACTTGACGACTCATGCCTGTGTGCTAATTGATTGATGAAGATTAAGCCACCCAATAGGTGGCACGGGCATGAATAGCCCGTAAGTGGTGGCCCTTTTGAGCCATCACCAGTATCAATAGTATCAAAGTATCAATGATACTGGAGATCTGCGGTGGTGCGGCTGCACCCTGCGTGACGGGAGATGTCTCCCGTGTGTGCGCTAATTCTGCGGCAGGAACTGTCATACTCAACAAATATTACATGCTTACCTGGAGAGGGTTATCTTGAGGGGATTTCGGGGCTTAGCGTCCCCGCGGCCCGGTCCTCGACCAGGCCTCCTTTTTGTTACACACACCCGGGAAGCAGCCCGTAGCAGCTTTCTAACTCCCAGGTACCTATTTACTGCTAGGTAACAGGGGCATCAGGGTGAAAGAAACTGTTCATTTGTTTCCGCCTCCACCGCGGAAACCGCTGAGGTTCCGCTTCGAACCCGGAACCTCAGGACTACGAATCCGAAGCGCTGTTCACTAAGCTATTAGGCGCCCTCCGTCTGGGTGCTGGGAGTTGTTCTCCCCAAGCCCGATCAGGGGCCAAGCTTCACTTGTGACAGCTTGGTCCAACACACCCACATACCAACACACCCACATAAGGTCCAACAGACCCAGCCTGACAGCTGAGTGGACAGCGCTTCGGATTTACTGTGCTGAGGTTACGGGTTCGATCCCCGGTGGAGGCGGAGACAAATAGGCAAAATGTTTCTTTCACTCTGATGCCTCTGTTACCTAGTAGTAAATAGGTACCTGGGAGTTATACAGCTGCTACAGGCAGCTGGGGGGGTGGGTAACAATAAGGAGGCCTGGTCGAGCACCGGGCTGCGGGGACGCTAAGCCCCGAAATCATCTCAAGATAACCTCAAGATAAGATCCATTACAGTCCGATTGGTCCGGCACTTTTCACAGGAAACTGTCTAATTTGTTTAATGTCCACCTTTACTCTGGCAATATTTCTTATACTGTAGTCGCTGGGAGGATATTGACGGGATAGTCTTAGTGTTTTCTCTGCTCGTGTGGCACCAATACTCTTCACTGGCCCTCCAGTACTTTCTATATCATACCACTTTCGTTTTCTTTCCTGGGAATATATTTTGAGAGCTTGGAAACAGTCCCAATAGTTTAGCTGCTTTGTTGTTTCTGTGCGTGTCGTTTATATTCTCTGTATTCACAATCAACTTGAGAATGGTCCAGGACGGACCGAAACGTCGTCGTCCCTTCACCTTCCAGTGTGTGGTCTGATCAACATACTTTAGCCACGTTATTGTGACTCATCGCCTGCTCTGTATTCTATTTCAGCAATCTTTCCTACTCAGAAGAGGAGGGGAAAGTGAGTATCGAGCAGTGCTCTAGGTGGGACAGCATCATTGATTTGAATAATATGACCATTGTGGTGTGACCTTGAATTTGAATGTTCACAAACCATCCTATCATTTTTCTAGCTAACTATACAGTATTTGATTAGTTATGCTCCCTAAATGTTAGGTCGTCAGACATCACTATTTCCTGATCCTTTGCATGTTGCGTTCCTACTATTGGTTGATCTGATTGCCTTGTACCCTGTATTTCGTTTAAGATCTTTATTTTTTCTATATATAAGACCTGGAATTTATCAAACATCATGCTGTTTTCTGCTGTCGAATCGAAAATTGTATTAATAACAGCCAATAGCTTTCAGTGTCTTTTACACAAGTAATTTTCATACTGATTTTGTGTCAACTGCAAAAGATGGCATGAAGCATTTGTATGAGAATAAGAAAAAACAGTGGTGCAAGGACTGTGTCCTGAAGTACAAGACCTCTTTACTGCGCTTGGACTTGATTTTGTTTGATTGACTGTTACTCTTTGCATTGTTTGACAGGAAATTGAGTATCCGTCGCCCTACTATTCCAATTGATCTCGTTTGATGTGCTATCACTTCATGGTCACATTTACCAAATGCCATTGCAAAGTTAATCTTTACATATGCATTTTGTTGTTGTTCTAATGCTTGAGTGTCCTGTCATTAGATCCTTTAGACCTGCCGGTATGACGTAGCTGGAGTTTTGCTATTACCTACTCCACTCTTGAGTATATTTGCATATTCCATTCAAAATGTGTTACCTCCTGCTGGTCACAACCGTCTGTATAACTAGGCATCCTGTAGAATTTGACAAACTATGCAAACTCAGAAAAAATGGTCGGATGGATTACGAGAACTTTAAAATCCAGGGATCCCATCACGATGGTTGTACTATACAAATCACTTATACTGTCCCGTCTTGAGTACTGCTCAGTACTCACTTCCTCCTTCAGAGCAGGAGATATTGCTGAAATAAAGGGAATACAGAGAACATATACGGCATGCATAGACGCGATAAAGCACCTAAATTATTGGGATCGTCTCAAAGCTCTCCAAATGAAAGAAGACGAGAGAGATATCAAATAATATAAACGTGGAAGGCCAAGTTCCAAATCTACACAGTAAAATAAGAACGTACTGGAGTGAACGATATGGAAGAAAATGTAGAATAGAACCAGTGAAGAGCAAAGTTGCAATAGGCACAATCAAAGAACACTGTATAAACATCAGAGGTCCACGGTGGTTCAACATCCTCCCAGCGAGCATAAGAAATATTGCCGGAACATCTTCAAGAGGAAACTAAATTGTTTCCTCCAAGGAGTGTCGGACCAACCGGCTGTGGTGGGTATGCGGGCCTGCGGGCCGCTCCAAGGAACAGCCTAGTGGACCAAACTAGGCTGTTGTCAAGCCAAGTCAAGCCTGGCTTCGGGCCGGCCTTGGGGAGTAGAAGAACTCCCAGAACCCCATCAACCAGGTAACCCTTCCTATTGTATAAGTCGCTGCATAAATGACCGTATACCTAATTTTGTTAATAAAAACAGCTATTAGTTATCAAGGGCGGTAATTCCTGAGCCATTACCACATTAATTCTGGGAAGAAGGTAACGTTTTATGGACCTACCTTAGTTGCATCATATGGTCTGGGAGAGGCAATTCTTCAATAGTTGCAAGATTTTATTTATCGATTTAACATGCTGTGGTTGAATTTTTGCTGTGGTTGAATAGTTATTTGATAATGAAAATGCCGTTAGCCTGATTAATTAGGTAAACATGTTAAAGATGCTTAAAACGCATCCGGTAAAGTATCCAGCTATATTATTTGGCATACCTGACAGTATACACCTACGCCTGTTCGTGTCTGTTCGAGGTGTTCCTACTTGTGCATACATACATACGCCTTCGCAATCTGTATACGGTGGTGGTGGTGGGGCAGAGCAGCCTGGGTGGTGACGAAGCAGTGAGGTGCGAGCAGCAGTCTGTCTCGCAGGATCTCTAGCACTTCAAGTTGTAAGTTTTATATATCTTTTAGAATAGTTTACCCAGGTTGAGAGGCGCCCTTCGCGCCGCCAGTACAACGCTAGTTAAAGTATTGTAGGGAAAGGGAGGTTGTACGCTCGGGAATTAGTACAGTGTTCACGCAGATGTAAGGCTGCGCTTAACGCGGTGGCTATGTTCTTGAAGGTGGTGGTAGGGGCTGATGGCTGTGTAAATACCGGTGGCACGTACGCTAGCACGGCTGATGGTGATGACCCTGCTGCTGGCGATGGTGTTTCTGATGGCACCGGTGTTATTCGTGGTGATGATGATGATGATGATGATGATGATGCTGTGAAAATGATATTGGGGCGATGGTGGTGTTGTATTACGCGTAAGATAGCTTTGGATGGACCAGTGAGGAATACGGCCATCCATCACCACCATCGACCCGCTCGCTGCCTTAGTGTGCTGCTGCATATGGGGTAAATATGCCCAGGATCTTCCCCGGCACCTATTTTCTCCATTTTTCGTTCTTATAATTTTGGAAACATTATATTATAATGCATGGCAGCTGGACGTCTAGAGAATGCGTTTATAATTTTGACGCAGTAAAGATTTCAAGTACTGAGATTCTTAGGTTTGGGTGTTTGATTGGGTGGATGCAACAGTAGATGATCTAGCTTGATCAGTAGATCAAGCCTGGATCTGGATATGTTAAGCCTGGCCTCGGGCTGGGCTTGGGGAGTAGAACTCCCGGAATCCCATCAACCAGGATATTGTTGATACCAAATTTCGACAGCCTTAATGGTGAGAGTGAGAGAGAGTGAGTGAGAGTGTTTAGCAGTATTATGATTTAGACTCTAGAGAGAACAAGCGCCTTAAGCAGTATAACCATCGGCTGGGCATGGTTGAAACACTCGTCCCATATAATTACTCCCAGGGTGCTTACAGTTCCATTCCACTTCTATGAAAGTATTTGATGTTTGCGCCCCGTTCCATTGTTAAACTTAATATATTTTTTTACCATAAGCCTAGTGGCAGATCTGGGGCCAGATTCGTGAAGTAGTTACGCAAGCACTTACGAACCTGTACATCTTTTCTCAATCCTTAGCGGCTTTGTTTACAATTATTAAATAGTTATTGAGCTCTGAAGCACCGGGAGGCTGTTTATAACAATAACAACAGTTGATTGGGTAGTTTTCATGCTTGTAAACTGTTTAATAAATGTAGCCGCAGGGGTCTAAGGTTGAGGAAAGTTGTACACGTTCGTAAGTACTTGCGTAACTGCTTCGTGAATCTGGCGCCCTGATGATTGTATTGTGTTTAACATTAATTTAAATTGCTGTACTTCCTCACTGTCGACAATGGATGCTACGCATGAACAATGTAATGTCATCGACCTAGGATAATACCTCATTATTATGCTCACTTTGTCTTTAAAATTGACATGCGTCATCTAGTAATTTATATAGGATAAGAATTTTTTAGTGTTAATTATTTCTTAACAAAATTTAGACGTCTGAAGAAACGTTAATACAATTTGCTTACCTGTCGCTTTTCATTCCCGGTGAATGAAAAGGTTTGGCCTTTTGTTCCTCTTGGTTAAATCAACAAAATAATTGTTGGACGTTATACTTGAACGGAATGAGATTTTCATTTAATTCTCCCAGAGCCCATGTTGCTGCGAGGTGCCTTGGGTGTCGTTACTGGGGGCATGGTGACGGTCCCTGTGTCAGCGGTGCTAGTGATTGATCACTGCTGTCCTAGTTATCACTGCCTATGGTGCTAGTGATCGATCACTGCTGTCCTAGTTATCACTGCCTATGGTGCTAGTGATTGATCACTGCTGTCCTAGTTATCACTGCCTATGGTGCTAGTGATCGATCACTGCTGTCCTAGTTATCACTGCCTATGGTGCTAGTGATTGATCACTGCTGTCCTAGTTATCACTGCCTATGGTGCTAGTGATCGCTGTCTGTGGCATTACCCACTGGGTATACCTGCTTGATGGGGTTCTGGGAGTTCTTCTACTCCCCAAGCCCGGCCCAAGGCCAGGTCCACCAGGCTGTTGCTTGGAGCGGCCCACAGGCCCACATACCCACCACAGCCCGGTTGGTCCGGCACTCCTTGAAGAAAACAATCTAGTTTTCTCTTGAAGATGTCCACGGTTGTTCCGGCAATATTTCTGATGCTCGTATGAAATCCAAGAGTTGAATCAACGCTATCCTTGGGTTATTGTGCCAACTGGGTAGTGGTCATCACTGCCCCAAAGGATACTCTCCAAAGGATACCTAATCAACCTGGCTGTGACTCATACGTCAGGCTGCGAGCAGCCGCGTCCAACAGCCTGGTTGATCAGTCCAGCAACCAGGAGGCCTGGTCGACGACCGGGCCTCCAGGACGCTAAGCCCCGGAAGCACCTCAAGGTAACCTCAAGGTCAAGGTAGGCCCCTGCAACCCGTCCTGCTAATAGAAGGTCGCATTTTGACGTATAGTCCATCTAAAGGAAAAAAAAAATTGTCGTACTAGAAAATGGTAGCGGCTCGCGAAATTGACATATTGTCCCGTTTTCTGTTTTGGGTCCTCTGGTAGGTTAGGACAAGGGCACTTTAGTACGACAGTTTCTTGACGTTGGGAAACCGTAGGTGGACGGGCAACTGATGTATGTGTCAGCGCCCTGATAAACGGGGCTGTGACACATGCCTTAGAGTGCGAGTAGCTGCGTCCAACAGCCTGGTTGACCAGAGCACCAACCAAGAGGGCTGTAACACGAGGTTGTGGTGAGCGACCTCGCTGGCATTAACAGTACCCCGCGCGGGGCTCAAAAGGCAACTTGATCAACACCTGCGATGGATACCTGATCAAGCGGGCTCTGGTGCATACGTCACACCGCAGGCAACACTGTCTTAACAGCCTGGTTGATCACACCGTCAACCAGGAGGCCTGGACACAGACCAGACAGTGGAGACGTTGATTCTCGGAACATCATCAAAGTCACACTTGATCTTTTTTTAAGGCTTAGATTACATGTGGTTTAATTAATTTCTTTAGTGTTATGGCCTTGGCTTCTCCTTCCATGGCTATAAGTCTTGGCTTATAGAAAGATGGCTTGTATGATCGATCAAGCTATTGGTGCTTGTGGCTGGCAGTGGTAAGTCTTTTCAACCCGGCTAATCTGACCGTTGGGGGCATAGACCCTTGGAGCCGCCCAAGGATGGTAACCTGTCTTGATTTTCCTGTTGAAGGCCTTCTTCCGCGGGTGTGTGGTCTCGCGCTAGCTAGTGGAAGGTTACACAGTCGTGTGTACCTGCCGCTGTATTCTATTCATGCGTGTGATGATACCTAGGCATTGTGTTGTCAAATATTTTAAACTAAGCATACATTTGAATGTAGACAGATGTGTATACACAGCAGAATACCTGCAGCAGTGAATACACAGGGTGCGGGGGTGTGTGCGTGCCGCACGCTGTACACGGATCGTCACGCACATCCTGGCCTGCAGGAGTTTGGCAGCCCTTCACTCTGGTCTTATGTAACGCCGATATTCCCTCATGTTATATTCCCTGTCACACACACGTCCAGGGAATATCATTCCCGTTAGCACTAGAGCTGGGAGTTGTGGACACGCTGCGTACAATGTTTCACTTGTTATATGCGCTCAAAATCGTGAAGCTAAACACGAAACACGAAGACGCTGAATATTCAAAATGTTCACGAATGTTCGTTGTATTTACAAAGGAAAACTATATTTCCATAGAATTTCTACACAAATTTTACTGGAGGAGCTGAATGTTTAGCCGGCTCCTAGGATAGGCTTGGAGAGAACAACATCCTAAGAGAGAGAGAAGAGCCCAATAGGCTCAGGAACCTTCACTCCAGTTGATTGATGGTTGAGAGTACATCTATTTCCTTTGATCATCTTCACTCCCACTACCTCCCCACCTTAATCCTCCCACCCCTGGCACAAACTATGCAACCCAGTTTATAGTCTTATGTTAGTGCAAAAGAAGTCCAGATTCATTATTTACAGTTGGCGAGGTTACAGAGTTGTCGCGGTGTAAGACCCCGAGACTAGTCGAGTCTTTTTACGCTCGCCTCGATTGTCTTGTGTGTGCGTTCATCTATTTTTGGGTCTGCCTTTTTGTGTGCGTATTTTTGGTGAGTTAAAAGGGAGCGTTTGTTGAGGACACGTTGGTGGACGTTTAGTGATTTTAAGGCGATATTGTTATTGGGTGGTGGCGTAGTTTGTGGCACTTTTTCTGCGTACTTCCTCCCTCGTCTCCTTGGTGGTGTTTATGTCCCTGTCGTGTGTCCGGCCACGTCCTCGCTCTGTCTCGTCCCTCGTCTAATTTGTTTTCACCCGTCTTATTCTGTCCTCGTTAATGCTCTTCCCTTCCTCTCCCTCTCCTATTTAATTCCTTTTCACCTTGTATATCCCTAGCTTCACTATCTGCCACTGGTTGCACTTGCTCTTCCATGCCTCATATCCCGCGTGGTATCTTCCTGGTCATCTCCTCCTTCCCCCTCACAATCCAGCTTATTCCAGCTCATTTCTCCTGCGAGTTATTCACCCCTTTATTCCAACGGAACGAGCTCGGGTATTCCTCATTTCTCACACACCAGTGTCTTGCCCTTAATGTGGCATCACTTCCTTCCTAGTCAAGTCCTCTTTCTTTTTAAACATTCAATGTACCCCCCTTTGTACATTGACCCCCCCCCCACAGACACAAACCAACACCCACACACATGTATAAATAAAACCACATCCACCCACCCCGCACACAAACCCACGCTCATCCATACCTCGCCATCCCGAACACAAACCCACTCCCATACACACAGACTTTTTAACACAAGGGGCACGTGCCCCTGAGTGCCCAAATTGAGTGCCCAAATGAGCCACAGAGATGTTAGAAAGAATTCTTTCAGTGTCAGAGAAGTAGACAAATGGAATGTATTAGGAAGTGATGTGGTGGAGGCTGACTCCAAACACAGCTTCAAGTGTAGATATGATAGAGCCCAATAGGCTCAAGAACCTGTACACCTGTTGATTGACGGTTGAGAGGCGGGACCAAAGAGCCAGAGCTCAACCCCCGCAAGCACAATTAGGTAAGTACAATTAGGTAAGTACACACGATTGTGCAGCCTTCATAAGATTACGACAGTAATAGAAAGGAAAGTATGACTACCACACTTCCTGGTACCTGTGCTGGTACACGCCCGTCTAACCCGAGTAACCATCCATCCCAACCCCTCTCTACTCCAATCTTTCAATTACTCTTCCCCCTCTTACATCTCCCTGTTTTTTCCCCCTTGAACTTAAATTTTCCCGCATCTTCGTTTTAACTCGT